CTACCTTGGGATCATCTCAACCTCAGAACCTCAACATAGAAAAACTTGATAGTGCTGTCCAAAAATTCAGTGCCAATTCAGTCCACCATACAACTATGAAGTCACCTGCTGCAATGCTTCTGAAATAAGATTATTACTGTTACTTCCCACCTCACAAATACCCTAGATGTCACCAGAGAGATCAGACAACTCTGGCTTTCAATAGTGATGTTCCCTTACCAGAAGCATCAGGTAGTTGTTGTGGCCCAGGTGCACCTCAGCAAGTATCTTACAGAAGCATTTCAGTCATACAAGTCTAGGGCTTGGGGACAGAGCAAAATCCTGGATTTTATCTTTGTGCTGAGATAGCAAATTTTTCTCAGGTACATTCAAGTTTTCATATTCTGTCAAAGATCTTTTCTTACATCTAAAAAAGATCTTTTATCACTGGTTTAATTCCTTATAGAAAACTGGCTAGTCACTGACATGAAAAGAGAAGCATAAAATCCTATGTTGGTGCCCAATATCAGCAGTCCATACTCCCGTGTACCAAAGCTTAGGTGACAAATGAGAGGGACTGCAAAAACAGCATAAATATCTCAAATTCTCACTGACAGGTCAAGCTACCTTTTCAGATTCAAGAGCTGGCAGTGTATCAAGAAGGTGTGTTCATCCTGATCAGTTTTGAGTAAGATATCCAAAACAGTAATTCCCATCTCTGTAGGCCTTTCATGTTATTTGGTGCAGATAATGTATCTTGACATAACAGCTTTGATTAGCTTTGATTTTTAAAAAATATATGCACATTACACATATACACAGATTTTTAAAAAATATATGCACATTACACACTGAGATCTATCAGACTTTCTCCAATTCAAGATGCACTGTCAGATCTTTCAGGGACTGGGAATACACTCTCCAGGGCAATTCCAAGAAGCAGCTCACAAACAATTAGCAGAAAGCATGAACATTTCTGTAGCAGGAATGATGCTAATACATCCAGGTTGAGAGCAAGACAGTCAAAATACTCTTTTGTTTTCTATCAAGAGAACTGCTGATCAGAGAGAAGTATAATTCCAGCCCAGAGCAAGAAGAGATGAAAATACAGGCTTGTTTATTTTGTGGAGAAGGTTTAAATGTTGCACAACCATGTCAATACCTACAAAACAGGTTCAGCAAGATTTGACCCAGTACGTGCAGCCAGTCCTTAATTTGCCAGGGCTTTGTTCATACCCATGAACAGGATGGTACTTGCTGGGTGCTTGTGTCACACTGACCTAACCAGGACAGAAACTTTTCCAAAGAAATAATAAATAAGAAAAGATTCTCCACAGAAGGAGCACAGAGAAACCACTACTAAACATCATCACCTCTTAATTTAGCAGCCACTGTACATAAAGAGTACATAACACAATGACAGTAAAAGATAATCAAGATATGCAAATTTTTCCAGCTTAAGTGAACTGTACATACATGAAACAAGAGAGTAAGATTTAAATAAGGAATAAGTAAGAAAGTAAAACTTGTGGCCTAACGCTCCAAGAACAAATGGCTGGTCAATTACTACCTAGTCAGATGTAATCAGCAGCACACAGAAATACCAAAATGCTTTTGCATACCTGTAGTGGCTTCCAATTCTTCCTGAAATGATTTGTCCTTCTGATATTTTTGGTCAAATCAAGGGCTTATAGTCTTTCCAGCATGCACTGATTACTGTTTGTACAAAAAACTGTGCTAAGTGCAGTCTCTGATTAATGAAGTGGACTGACAGTAATTTCTGATATATTTAGAACAAGTCTAAGATGCATTTTCCTCATTGTAAATTAAACCTCCCCACAGAAAAAAAGAAACAACATTTCATATAGATACCAGGAAAGTATTCTAATTTCTCTCATATTCAGTTGTGTGTGTATATATATGTCTGTTGTTCCACTATGTTCATTTAAAGTACTTCAAAACCATGTTTCCCACGTTAATTGCAAACCCTAATAAATAAAAATACTAGACAACAATTTTAACTCTGAGTTCGTGATTTCTTAAACCTACAGTCTATGGCTTATTCTGAAAACAAGTTCTTGTACAAAGCAGGTTAATGAGATTTAAATAATTTGTTTTCAACTCATACGAACTAGCTACATAGTGAGGGGGAATAAAAAGGTTTTGCAGTATTAAGGAATAATGAATCATACCTATTTATTAGTCATCCTAATGAATACCTGCAAATTATTCTGCCATAAAGTGATTTTAACAAATTGGAGAACACAGACATATGTCAGTAACTAGGACAATTGAACAGTTTACTGTCAAGCAATTCTAGTAATTATTTAAATTGCTGATTAGTTGTCACATCAGCTGAGATATTTCTGAGTTTCTCGAACTTCCAGTATGGAAATTTCCTGTGTACAATTACATTACTGAGAAATATCCATACAGTAAATGAATATGCAGATCTCTTTATTTAGCAACCATAATGCATCTATATTTACTAGGTCTTCCATTTACACTGTTGATGCTGTTTGCAGAAGGCCATTAGCCTTCTAATTTGTTTTCTAGCAAAAAATGAAATTACAAGAAATGAGTGAGATTGAACTACTAAAAAAAATAGCAGTATTAGAAGAGTTTTGTAGCGTGCTTAGCACAAAGAGATTACAGTCCACAATGTGGCTCCCAGCAATGCTTCCTAAACACTGTAAATTTAATTTCTCAAATAAAGATAGCAAGAAAAATACTAAAATCCTTTTAAAATGCTATTTTTTCCTATAATTTTCTTCTAAAACCACTTTTGTAGTCTTGTGCTCCTTTTTTTTTTTTTTTGTTGCTACAGGCCATAGACAAGGCACAGATAGTAATTTTAAGCTTATTAGCAAAATTACATAACCTCACCCTATGACCATTTCTTGCTGTACTTAAACTGCACATATGTTTGAGCAGAGGCCATACCTTTTTTTAGAAACTTTTGACATCTTTTTTAAAATAAGCATAGTTGGTCAAAGTTCTAATGTATTTTTAAATAAGCCTTTATTATTGCACATGTTAATGACAGCAATAGTCTAATGCATTTCAGACTAGGGTATCCCATAGACAAGGCTATTTTAAAAGGCACAACCCTTCTTTTTTTTTTAAGGAGAAACAGAAGTCTACCAGAGGAGTATAGGCCTTCCTTCAAACAGCCAGAGAAAATGCTTAATAAGCCTACAGTTTTCATCTTGCAGAAGGAAACTGAAATATACAGAATAACTCAGAAAAAGCACAGCATAATTCAGGATGAAGTATTTAATGCACCGTATTAATCATGTAGAGAGTTCCCTGTAGCAACTGCAAAGCAAACAGTAAGATATTGAGCTTAAGAAAATAAAAACATGGTCCAAGAATAAAGAAGAAAAGATAATAAAAGATAATGGATGGAGTAAAGAAAATGAAATGCAAATCTAGCAAGTGGTTACAAGAGAACAAAAATATAAACTTTGGTTCTTCAGATATTCCCATACATTCCTGACTTGCAGTGCCCAAAACAGGTGCCTGAATAAGCACACAGAGCTGCTCTCAAAGTGCAATAAAGAGGAAAGACACAGGGGGTAACTGCTGTGTAACCACACAGCTCCCCACGGGCACAGGAGCAGTAGCTCCCCTGTTGAAATGCTCAGCTCACTGGTGGTCACTTCTGTAGAAACGCTCCCAAGGTGAGAGTATTCCACAGCACCTCAAAGGAAGGAAGCACCTCAAAGGAAGGAAGTTCCCAGCTGTGGAAAACCCAGGTACAGCAATGTGGCTTGTCTTATGCAACAAAAGATGGTGCGGCTGGGGACACCTCACTCCTATTCCAAATTTTGCAGAAGACAGAGAATCCAGTGATAACAGACACACCTCATAGCTCAGACCTCCTTAAGCAAAACAAAAGAAACTTCAGTTTTAAACCTCTCAAAGAAGCCACACTCACATGCAATAAAATTTCTCCAACTAATACAGTGAAGAAAAACACAGCATTCCAGTAATTCAGAAAGAATTCTGTTCCCTGACATTCTCAACCAAGAAATGTTTTAAAAGCATTTTTTTCCAGAAAAACAGTATCTATCCAGACAGATAGTTTTTGACTGGCTGTCAAGAAAAAGAAAATAGAGCAATTTGCATTAGAAAATACTAAGAAAAAATTCTCAGATAAAAGCAAAATGTTTACAAACTTTCCAATGAAAGTTTAAAAATATGTTGATAATAGAAGTATTAAAATGCCTGATTTTCCACTGATTCATCCCTGAAGGACAACAGCTCACCAAATTAAAACCATTTTCAGTTATAATTGGGGATTTGAATTTTCATCTGTGGGACTTATAAAAGACTGTTTCAGCAGAGCACTACAGTTAGATGGATGAAGGTCAAACATAAATATAAATTTCCCACTGTCCAAGTCAGACTTCTGAGAAAGGCATAGAGAACAAAATAGGTACACGCACTTCCCAGCATCCAACAGAATTATTTCTGAAAGTACTCTATCATTTTCCTAAATTTGATTTCCACTAAATCAGAGCCAAAGTGAACAAACAGTCCAACTGAACACTGAATTAATCCATTAAAAAGGTCTGGGCTTCAAACATCCACATTGTCCAGAAAATTAACTCAATAACAATCTGTGCCTCACATCTCCAACTGCAGCACTCTTCTGACAGAGGACTAAGCAGCAGCACAAAGAAAATGGAAGGAATCCTCCCCTACAAGAGAGTTCCTTAGCCATTATTCTTATGTTGAAGGAATAACACATCTTTGCCACTAAATATAAACATAAGATTTGTAAAATAACCATTCCACTGAATCCATGTTCACCATTCCCCTGATAAATAGAAAAGGCTGGGCTCTTCAGGATTGCATGTCAGAAACCCAAGACTGACACTTTCCTTTTCCTGGAAGGAGAGAGTCATCTGTCTGCATCTTGAAGAAAAAGTGGATCCTCATCAGTTCCTGAAAGGAGTGTTACTTGTGATTAAAGGCAGGTTAGAAATTGCATTTAAAAAATTAAGCAATTTTACCTCTCCTATAAAGACAACCATAACACAGTCCAGTTTTTCTTCAGGGGACAGCTTATCAATAAGGGAGTGGAGAGTTTCTGTAAGGTAAGACTTGACTTTTCTTTTCACTGTAGGTATTCCCATTACAATGGAAACTGAAATAAAATAAACCAGAAAGGTACTTTCAGTGATTGCATACACAAGATAGAAAACAAAAATCTTGCAATAAGGCATTGCTTAAAAAATGCAAAGGATTAAAAGGTGGAGATTGCAGTAATTAAAAATAGTTTAAAAATATACCACTCAGCATCAGGAGCATGACTAACAGTTAACACCAATTCTCAGAACAAACACAGAAGACAAAAAACTCCAATCCTAGACATGCCAGACTATTCTGTAGGTGTGATGGGCTGATCCTGACTGGATACCAGCTACCCACCAAAGCTGCTCTGTCACTCACCTCCTCAGCTGGACAGGGAGGAGAAAACATAACAAAAGGCTCGTGGGTAGAAATAAGGGCAGGGAGAGACCCCTCATTACTGTCACAGTCAAAGCAGACTTGAGGAAGTTAATCTATTACTCATTAAATGAACATAGGGTAATGAGAAATAAACCCAAATCTTAAAACACCTTCCCCTCACCCTTCCCTTCTTCCTGGGCTCAATTTCACACCTGATTTCTCTACCTCCTCCCTACCAGGAGCACAGGGGCATGGGGAATGGAGGCTGGAATTCAGCTCATCACACATGACCTCCATCACTTTTTTCTCCTCAGTAGAAGGACTCCTCAGACTCTTCCCCTGATCCAGCATGGGGTCCCTACTATGGCAGATGGTCCTCCATGAACATCTCCAATCTAAGTTCTTTCCCCAAGCTGCAGTTTTTCATAAACTGCTCCAGCATGGGTCCCTTCCATGGGCTGCAGTCCTCCAGGAACAGGCTACGCCACTGTGGGTCCTCTACTGGGTTACAAGTCCTGCCAGCAAACCTGCTCCACCGTGGGCTCCTCTCTCCGTGGGTCCACAGGTCCTGCCAAGGAGACTGCTCCTGGGTGGGTTTCCCATGGGGTCACAGCCTCCTTTGGGCATCCACCTGCTATGACGTGGGGTCCTCCAGAGGCTGCAGGTTCACTGCTGCCTCTCCATGCTCTTCATCACTGGCTGCAGGGGACTCTGCCCTGCAGCACCTCCTCCCCCTCCTTCTGCACTGACCTTGCATGTTCTCACTTCTCTCTCCAGCTGCAATTGCCCTTGAGCAGTTTTTTCTCCCTGTCTTCAATCTGTTATTCCAGTGGTGCTGGTCTGGCTATTGGTTCCACTGGAGACAGGGAAAGCTGCTGGCCCCTCTTAGAGAAGTACCCCTGTAGCCTCCCTCTTACCAAAACAGGGTCACACAAACCCCAACACAATGGGAAGTAATCAACAACCACGGTATTATTCAGACAAGGTGCACCAAGAGTGATTAAACTCCCTAACTGAAGTTTAAAAGTAAAACTGGTATAACCAATTCTTCAAAACTCATGTATTTAACTTCTCAGAAGTAATCTTTTAAAACAATACTGCTGAAAGCCTCTATTACTTTCCTTGCACCTGGTTTTGGTTCTTCTAAGTGAACAAGTCCAGGACAACAGGACTGCATGGAAGTTCCTCAACAAAATTCCTTTTCTCTGCCAAAAGCACCACAAATGCAAAGCAATACATCCCCAGCCTCAATGTTATTAGCACCATCCTTCAGCAGACCATTTGAGCTCTGTGTTGCTTAACTTTTCCATAGTTTTTCTTCTGCACTGTACACCGGGCTGGCTACCTTCTGGGAACACTGCAGATAGCAGCAGGAATGCAGTGAAAGGATAAAGCAGACTTCATGAAGTCCTAAAACCCTGAATTTCCTCCCTCTGTTTAATTAAATAAATCTGATTCCAATTCCTGATTCAAATTTCTGCCACATATTCCCAGGGGGACATAATACAGACTTCACTTAAAACAATAATGAATTATTAGATTTTTCCTCCCTGAACAACATTGAAATAAAAGGTATTTATAGTCAGAAAAATAAACCTGTGGCCTGAGCCCACACATTTGTCATACAGGAATACCTTCTGTTAAGAGAAGGAGCAATCAAACTCACTGAAGTAATGAAAAAATACAAGCCAGGATTAACTACAACACTGAATTTTTCCCCCTCCAGTGACTGTCCAGATTTTATTGATGCAATTATATCTGGTTCTCTTAGTTCTCTCAGCTTTTAATTTATACATTGAAATATACTGCTCAGAACAAGAGAAACATCAATGTTAAAATAATTACAACCATGCATGGTTGCCCTGCAAATCTGAAAAGCCAAAGGGATATACCCATCAGCAGTTCAGAATCTGAAATGCTTGAGCTTTGTTTCCTTTTGGCTACAAAAAAATTCATCCAAAATAAATGCTTCTTAATGTGTGCCTTAACATGGCATGGGGTGTGATTGAGATTATGCAGAAAAGAGCAAAGCTGAAACCAAGCTCCTTTCATCTCAGATTCAGTGTGAATTCAAAGGATTTCAATATCACACAAGTTAGATGAGATGTCCTTCATCTACCAAGCAATGCAGTAAATTCTTTTCCTAAAACTAGAAGGTCCTCCAGATATAAAACACGAAATAAGCATCATATCAGCATACCTCCTGTCCTTCCAAGGCCAACCTGCACAGAAGGTTGAAGGCTTCCTTCATTTTTCAACAAATGAGGCAAATGGTAATAGATATTTGGCACTTGAAGAGATTTTCTACTTGTTAGCTCTTTTAGCAATTTCAGCGTCTCATCTGCAAACATACAGGAAATCAGAAATGCAGAAAACAAATTATATGAAATTTCAAGCAATAGTAAACAGTATAAAATTCCAAACTTGGTCCTAATTGAAAGCCAGAATAAACTGTACACTTTTCTGAGTCATTGTATCTTGCCTACAAAGGAAGTCTTTTCTTATTTCAATTTTTTAAATAAACAATGGCCAAGACTATTTAGCACCAATAATCTTTTTAGAGATACAGTTAATATTTATTTGATCACATAAGATTTAGCGTGAATTTACAGAAGTAAAGAATGCCAAATTTAGCTGGGGGGGTTTGGTGATTTTGTTGGGTTTTGTCCCCAATTAATCAAATGGGAGGCTTATTTCCCAAGATAATTTTTCACTTTTGCTTACAGAGGTCATCACCATCCAGCAAACACTACTGCAAATAACTTTTGAGAGCTACAAATACATACTGGAATATACTGCACATAGAGATACAAAATAGCATTAAACATACAGTCAATATTTTATGTGTTCCTGCAAAAAAAAAAAAAATACTAAAGCAAACTTAATTTAGTCCATTAGAAATTATTCTATTAGAATCATTCTTGCTCTTTCTACTGCAACTGCCTTTCAGCATGTCCAGGTGGCTCTCAAAGTTGCAAATAACAGTTTTTAAAATTACCCTGCTGGGTGTGTTGATTTTCTTGCATCAAGTGTGAAAACTCATTTCAAATGAAAAATATGATAGCATATGGATCTTTGAAAACTTATGGGCTTCATAATATAAAGTTAAGTAAAAAACTGTAGTCAAGGTTGCTTGAGATAAAATTGAGAAGCAAGAAAAAGAAAGCCATAAGTGTAATTTCTCTCAGATTCTTAGCACAGCTTCTACAAAGGTAGGTGGGTTTTGTTGTGGATTTTAGTTCTGTATGTTTGGGGATTTTTGAAGTATTTATTTTTAGGTGAAACTAAATTTCTAACCACGTCAAACCTTGCAAAAAGCTTTGTAAGTTGATGCCATAAGTAGGTATGTCTCTTTTGATAGACTCCAATATGGGCACATTTTATTTTCCTGCTAACATTTCTTTAACTTTAACTGCAAAACCTAGACTAAATTCTGTCCATGCATGACAGCTCTTGTCTGAATGAATAAGGATCTATATAAAACAATCTGGAATTCTTTCAGCTTCAAAGAGAGCAAAGAGTATTATGTATACTTAAGTGTATTAAGCTTAATAAAAACCTATCTAATACTATGTTCTGAGCACAAAAGCTCAGTAATTCAGCTGACTTCCCATTATGGCTCTACATGAAAAAAGTGCATGTCCTTCCCAGCTGGGATCCAGACATGGTAGAATGTTAAATGAATCAGTACTTTCAGCTGCATCAGAAGAGAATAACTCCTTATAAGTATATTGCCTAAAAGCAAGCTAAGTCAATTTTAGAAACAAATGTGGTACTAAGTTAATCCTAAATCCAGAACCAAAATTATTTGACCTCTTTCACGCTTTACTTTAAAAGCAAAACCACACACATGAAATAGGAAGACAAGATTTATAGACCATGCTAAATGTAATCTTTATCTGTGCAATTCCTGGAGATCCAGGGAACTACTGAGATCAGGCCATTAGTGTCAGACAGCAATTCATGAGCGGCATCAACATTGGAGCCTATAATTATAACCATTTCCCAACCAAAAAAAAAAAAAAATCTATTGAAAATAGTAAATCATAGACCAAATGCAAGTAGACAACAAATTAAAAAATCTTGTTCCAGGCTTTTGAATTACAAAACCCTTCAGGTTTCAACTCCTTATTAGACCAACACAGAGAAATTTGTGCAACCTACCAAGTCAGACCTCTTGACAAAAAATTTGTACTTGTTATTCATATTCCATCCACAAAAATCAGAGCAACAAAACAGTAACAGTGTGATTTTAGAAGTCAACACCAATAGTTCTGGAGAATATTGCAGTGTTTTTCTCTAATATTGCCAAACAGCTTTTTGTAAATCTGAACATCAGTCTCCAAAATGGGTAAAAACTTATGGAAGATTTTACCAGTTTAATCACTAGTTATTGAAAAGGCCATTTCATGTACTTTTTACCAATCATAAGCAATACTTTAGTCTATATGATTTAATACCTTCCAGTTGACTGTTAAGCATATTTTAAATGCTTCAAGTTCATCCATTTCATCTGTTTGCTCACTTTTCCCCTCTGACTCTATTTAAAAAGTGATGTAAATTAATTGTCGAAATATATTCAACATAACAGGTAAGTAACCAGAAGTCCCAAATTTGGGAGCTAGGTGTGGAGTAAGTAATTCTTATGACTTTAGGAACTGAATAAGGGTGGGTGAATCATTAAGGACAGCAACTGGAAAAAACAAACCAAACAAACCCACACCAGATACAATTTATTACACATTCTTTATTCACACTGCTGAACAGTTTCATTCACCTCCTTTGGGAGCAATTTCTTATTCTATAGTAATAACAAGAAATATAGGCATTGCAGAGTTGTAAAAAATACCTCGTACCTGAAAAATTATTCATGGCATTCTTGCTGCCATTGGTTTCTGCCACGGCCCTCCGGAACTGCTCCAGGATGGCGTTGAGCTCGGAGGAGCGCTGCAGCGTGCGGTGCTCGGCGATGCGCAGCCGCTCCTTCAACGCGTGAAACTCCCGCTGGTAGGCAATCAACTTTTCTGGGGAGAAAAGCCACGATTCCACGGGTTATTTGTGGAAACAAACACGTACTGACAGAACTGACCAGGGGCTAACGCTGCTCAGCTTGGCAGCACCTGGAATGCTCCCAGGAAGGCAGAGCCTGGCATGGCCCCACCTGAGGAGCTGGGTGCCAGCACCCAAGGCGAGAGGTGGATGGTGGACACTGCTGCCTATTATCTGTTTCCAACAAGCTCCTCCCGTGGAAGAGCCATTGGATTAACATTCAGCAGCGCCGTCAGACTCGCACCACACTCACCACAGCTGGCTCAGCGAGAGAGGCAAGAAGGCTCTTTTTGCAGGAGTTAATGGCAGCAAGATTTGTCACATGGAAGCTGAAGGGAACCCAGGAGAAAAAAGAGGGCTACCATGGGCTCTGGAAGCTTAAAAATGGAAAGGGATGGGGGGCAGAGCTAAGGGCAGGACAAAGGGGATGGTCTCCAGGGGAGAGGGGGCAGCCACCAGGGGTCCCAACCAGTGAGGAAACAGGGAAAGGAGAAACCATGGTAGGTTGTGAAATATGGGCAGAGGTCCATGAGGGAGTCTCGTCTGCCTCACAGGAGGAATGAACTCTATGGTAAGTCTTTCCAAGGCAATGCCCTTGGGAACTGGCTGGGAGGGAGGGGAGGGAGTTCATGGGATGCTACCATAGGCAATCAACTTTTCTAGGGAGAAAAACCACGATCCAGGTTGTTTGTGGAAACAAACACCTACTGACAGATTCAACCGGGGCTAACGCTGCTCAGCCTGGCTGCACCCGGAATGCTCCCAGGAAGGCACAGCCTGGTACAGCCCCGTGTGACCCACCCAGCACAGCGAGGGGAGAGCTGCACACACCGGGATGGGGGCAGGCATTGAGGGGGGATGCCCCTCACCAAAGCCACGGACCAGGGACACCCTGAGCACCCAGCACTAAGCACAAGGCAGTTCTGAACCATTTCTTGGAACAGATGCCCACAAACCATTTCTTTTAAGAAAATCCACACAGCAGTGGCCCCTTACAAAAGCACAGGTTACATACTGTGAAAGGCCCCTCTGAATACTTTGTAAGGATGAGTGGAACTTGACAGTATTTCAGACATATCAACTTTAGACCCAAGTTTTAACTTAATGTTATGGTCAGTGCCTGAAAACTGAAGAACAAAATTTTTTACCAAAATTCTGCTGATGTTGATGCATACACATACTCTCGAGAGGGGAGATCGCCCAAAAGGGAGATGCAAACACCAAAACTGATTTGCTGATATATTCTCTTTTCCCTTGACACCCAGTAAAGTAAGTGGGCCTAGGTTTTGTATCCTTCCATCTTCCTATTGGCAATTTCCGCAAATCTTCTGCTCACTATCATCATTATCACCCTCCTTCAACCAATATACAGATACTGACCAGAGTATTTTAAGTGAATTTATAACTCAATCAATATTCCAGCCACTCAGCTGACATTCACAGACATATCTCTTTTGTTATTTACCTATACATTCCCAGTCGTTCCATACTGCAATGGAAGCAGAAGTTTAGCAAGCAATTTGAAACCCTTCCTGTTGATATATTACATAGTACACAGGGCAAAAAAGGAATTAGAGTCAACTTTCCTTGTTAATAAGGCTGTTTTTCCTCCAAATTTTTTCATTTACATTTATTTTCTTCTTTTTTTGGTAGTTGGGATGTGCTGCTTCAATTATGCTTAGAAAACTTAATTAACTAAAATGCCCTCTGTTCTGAAGATGGAAAAATAAAAACATAGTTCACTACCTTTTAAAAAACATCTCCTTTGCCAGCTTTATTTTGCTTCTTTCATTAAAACCAAACGGTTATTGCTTTTGTGCCAACAAACCCAGAACACAGATGCTGGCCCACAACACAGTGCTAGGCATGCTATACACTGCTGACTGAATCCAGGCTGATATTTGAAATAGGAATTGATGCCTTAGTCAGCAGCACTTAGAAGACTGGGAAAATTTTTTGAAGTTTCTGGCATGAAAGCCATTCTTATTTGCCAGTGATAACTAACAAAGTAGTTCAGTTCTGATGCTTCCAGTGAACTGTACTGGTATTGCATTCATGGTACTGGAGACCTCAAAAGCATTAATTCCTTTGAGAAATACTAGACAAGCAGTCAACTTCCCACAGTTGCTTCAACCAGACATATCTAGGTTAAGGAGGCTGCTCTAAAAGCTGCATCAACTATAGGGACTCTTCACAAATATATGGCAATTTTTTTTTCCATTAGGCACAATATTATTCAAGTGCAACTAAAAAATCCTAAGATTACAAATACAATAAGATTTTTAAGTCTACTACCCTATGAGTATTTTTCTAGTTATTTATGCAAAATGAAATTTAAAAATAATTCTTTGTTTATGTGAACTTACATGACCTAAAACATTTACATCTCTAACACTGGTAGAGCACTTTTCATGTTTTTGGAGATTAATGTGTAATTTGGCATTTTGGTACTTGTTTTACAATATGGCTGCCCGTACTTTTAAACTAAACAAATTCAATTTAAATGCCTAACACTCATGTCTTTAGCATACTTTCAGTACTTCAAAGATCAACTGCTCAGATACTTATTATTTACAAACAAACAAAAAAACACAACACGTTTGATCTCATACTGAAAGGCACTTGCAAAGGGGAAAATACTTCTTAGACTCTTACAGTACCACCATTAACAGTGACCACATGTCCCAGACTTTAGAAAAGTATCCCTTAAGCCATCAGCAGTTTATAAATATTCTAATTTGACTTTTCAGAGTTCCTGACTAAGTCCTTGAGAATGAGCCTACAAGATTAAATTTAAGAATCTATTTTTATTTAAACTTTGAGCTCAAGTTTGGTAGAGAAAGTCCTATTTAACTAATTTGGTGTCATTCTATGATAAAATCACCCTCCACATGGATGAAGGCAAAATGAAGGAAAGGCAGTGGGTGGTGCAGTCTCACCTGGGGTGCTGTGTGCAGTTCTGGGCCCCACAGCTTAAAAAGGATGTGGAGTTGTCTGAATGCATCCAGAGGAGGGCAACACAGCTGGTGGCAGGGCTGGAAGGCCTGTCCTGGGGGAGTGGCTGGGGAATTTGGGTTGGTCTAGTCTGGAGAAAAGGAGGTTGGAGGGGTGACCTCGTTGCTCTGTGCAGCTTCCTGAGCAGGGGAATTGGAGAGGGATGTGTTGAGCTCTTCTCCCTGGTGTTTAGTGGCAGGACACACAGGAATGGTCCTAAGCTACGCCAAGGGATGTTCAGATTGGACATTAGAAAGCATTTCTGTACTGAGACATTGGTAAAACACTGGAACAGGTTTCCTAGAGAGCATAAAGTATTTAGGAGGCATCTGGACAATGCACTTAATAATACGCTTTGGCTTTTGGTAAGTCCTGAATTGGTCAGGGAGCTGGACTGAATGATTGTTGGTAGGTCCCTTCCAACTGAGACATCCAATTCTGTGACAAGCTGACTTGCAAGAATTGTAGATACAGAAAAGTCAATAGCACACCTGATGTTTTCAAAATACATTTGACCATTTAGTGTTTTATTGTTCAGAGATTTCTCCAAAACCAAAAGAAATTAAATTGATTTCTTGTCCAGAAGTATGAAAACACTTTTTTTGATTGCTATTACGGTAAAAAGGAGAGTAGTGAGCCTAAAACCACAGAGAAAACACAGGTCAGTGGTCACCACCAATAAAAAAAGATTCTTTTTCTACAGGATTATGGATTCTGTTCTTATTCTCATACTGAAATCTAGAGTTATTTAAGAAAACAGAAGAAGGAATTCACACAGTAAGTTATTGGCCTTACAACACTGATGGAAGAACCCCAAACATATCTGTCTGTTCTCTGACAAACAAAACATCCCTCTAACAGCAGCTGTAGCCAATATTGAAGACATCTGGTCTCCAAAAATTTCAGCATACAAGAATATTTTTATTTAAGAATAATGTACTATATTAAATTGAAATGAGAAGATTTTCCATACTTTTCTCTGGAAGCCAGAAAGATCAAATAAAATAAATATCTTGTTAAAAAATTACTTGAGAAATGAAAGCATTAATTCTTCATCATTTTTCTCTTAAATTCTAGTTGGTCCAGCAAAACTCCAGAAGCTAAAGACTAAATATTTTAGCTGGCCAGATGCTGTGCAGTTCTCCCAACACTATGTCAACTGAATCAGTACTTTGTCAACTTTTTTCTTTTGTTGAAACACGTTCTCTTAAATATGCAGAACTTAGAATTTAGACAAGCTCACTTGAAAGTTGATGCAGTCTTTTGAAAGTGAAAATTCAAATGAAACTCGAGTGGTTTGCCAGTTTTTAACCAGAGATGAAATCTCAGCTCTCAGCCTCCTCTGGGTTATTTACAGTTTCTAAAGAAGAAACAGTTCTACAGTTACTTACAGTTTTCTAAAGAAGAAATTATTCCAAAAAGACACCACTAACCCAAAATTACAAACTCAGTCCACTCTCCTCTTAGTCACAGACAATATTGATTACATAGATTGCTAAAGGGTTGTCTACATTTGAAGAAAAATTCAAAGTTTTAAAGCATGGAGTTTCTAACATTTTAGCATGCACATAATTTCTTAGTTTGGGTTTTTGTACTTCTTGAATAATCTGTTCATGTACTTCAACCCCTGCTTTTTGTAACAGCAAAGAGTTTTCCCTTGAGATAAAAAGGGACATCCAAGTAAAGGAATATAAAAATCGGCTGTAGTTTGAATTTAGAAAAGCATTTTGCAGAGTATTTCAGCTCAACTGAAATAGCATAAATCTGAATTGCAGGTAAATTACCAACACTGTCAGAACACTTGCTGAATTCTAATTCCAAATGAATTATCTACTGAACAGCAGAACAGAAAACGTACTGTGGAAACTCAATCAAAGCAATTTTAAGGCTATAGAGTCTCAAAGTCAATAAAAATCATCAACAGCTTAGTTTTTTGTTCATGTTACTTTTTTAGCAAAGTTAGATTTTTTAATGCCCCAAG